AGTTACTTGTAAAAATCGTAGGATTGCATGAGTTTGGCCACCTACTGTACTTACTAGGAATAGGCTAAACCCAGTCTCACACTCCTTGTTGAGATAAATAGGGTATGAGCCCCAGCGTTGGCCTTAATCAGCGTAAATTCTGACAAATGGTAGCGTCAGTGTTAGTACCAGTACTAATACGCTTCTTGTTGAGATTGAGGCGATATATGCCCAGTGCTGACTTTAATCAGCGTCAATTCTGACTAATAATACAGCCAGAAATGGTACCAGCACCCCAATCAGCTGACCCCTGGTTAGTAGTATTAGAAATATCAGCAGCAGCAGTAGCATTATCAGCATTGGTTTCCTTGGGTCTGATTTTACACCTAGTGAAGGTGTGGTAATATCAGCGCAAAGAACTAATGCCACTTAAGGTTAACTTAGGCGGTGTTTCTGGCCTGCATTGGAGAAAGCGGCTTTCGCCCGATTCCTGTTCGGTCAGCTCGACACTGTCTTATCAGCGGTTCAGGCGGGGAGAGGATTTAGAATGGGGTAGATGGCTACCGTCTCCGTTCACTATACCTGACTACAGTCACCGTCCCTGCTTTTGGACATCCACATCTACTGGAACTAGTTTATGGGAGTGGAGTCAGCCCCGTTGTCGCATGCACGCACAGGCAGATCAGATAGTGAGAAGTGTTCTTCGCCAAATTCTTTTTTTTTCATTGGAGAGTTGTTAGCGGGGGTGGGCGTACGAGTTTCCCTTAGTAGAACAACACCCACGCGCAACTCAACACAGTCCTTGTAGCAAGGCAGTTGTAGGCACAGCTTAACCGTAGTCAGTCACACCCGTGATTTACCTAAAAAAAAGTAGTGCCGAACTCGATCAATCCACCGCTCTGTTGCCTCAAGCCATCAAGTGTTTGGTTTATCCGCCTACGCCATCCTCTTCATAGTGGCGAGCGTTTGCCATAAAAGAAAAGTCCTGGAATTGCGAAGGCCACGAGTGAGGTCACTGATTAGACAAAATGCAGACTTTATGTAGAATGAGGAAGTAGGTGGAGCAAAAA